TTGATGACATCATAGAAGAAGCTATATAGTATATTCATGCTATAATGAGTCTAACTTAGTGATCAGTGATGGAAATAAAGTGTCTTTAGATGAGTCACAGAATCACAGAATACCAGTTTGGAAGGGATCTTGAGAATCATCTGGTCCAACCTTTCTTAGCAAACGCTCAGTTTAGACAAGATGGCCCAGCACCCTGTCCAGCTGAATCTTAAAAGAGTCCAATGTTGGGATCTCACACATAGGGAACCCACCATTCCCTGGGGGAGATGATTCCATTGTTTTTTCTCATTGTGAAAAATGTTCCTGGTGTGTTCAATTGGAACCTCCCCAAATGTAACTTGTACCAGAAGCGTAGTGTTAATAAAGATTTCAGAAGTTGCACATATGGATACTATGGAGCACCCACGTGTACATCCAGCTGCCCATCTGCTGAAAGTGATATTGTGATTGGGTGTCTTCTTCTGTCTCTTAAAGAGTTATGATATGTAAGCACTGTGGCCATCAACAAAAAAGGCTTGTCACAGTGGCCCTTGGTTCCTGGTGGTGGTTCATTCTTATACTGCTCTCTCTTCATTACACTTGTCTACTATAGTGTTTTGAGGAAGGACAAAACATGAAAGGGAATGCAAGTGAGAGACCCCTGGAAAAATAGTGAGGATATGATCATATGCTTAGGGAAAGCAAATAAAGCAAAAGCAGAGGCTAAATCAAAGCCAAGAAATTATGATTACTTTTTTTTTTGAGCTTTGACTTTGATGGGGAAACTTCTTAGTACTCCTGGTTACAATATGTATGTATATATACACATACAGCAGAAAAAGGCAATTTTCAATTGTTTATTTTAGCATCCTTAAAAGTAATAACAACTTTTCTTAAAAAATATCAAACTGTGAAATATAATGGAAAAATTAAAGGTTTGCAAAGAAGGTAGGATCTTGTCATTCCTCCCCCAAAACAACATGAAAAATACAATTCCATATAATTTGATACAGTGGTCTGTAGCAGGTGTAAATGAAACTCCCTGTTAAGAAATAAATTTATTTTCATAAGAATCAGTTTTATGTCAAAGTATTATGGTTTTCTTCTTTTATATATTTCTCCTGCTCAGGTGCTAATGGAATTTCCCTGATATGTGCAGAGGGCAGAGAGCACAATATAGTTTGTGTATATGTTTGTTTGTGCTATGGTGGGTACAGCGGCTGAAGACCAATGACAGCTGACTGTTTTAGCCAGTATCTTGTCTTCAAGTGTCATAGTTTCTTTTTTTCATCTTTTTTTTCCTTTCTTTTAACGCTGGATTTCTGAAACAGAGATGCTGGAAAATCCAATAACTCTGTGATTACCAGACCCTCCTGAGAAAATATTAACTAAAGTTCCCCTACTAGCTGTTCCAGGTCTGCAGAATTTTTATGATAAATGACAATATTTCTGCTGGAAATAATGCTGGACTACTGAAAAACTATCTTTATTGCTGAGCCTATTCACTATTTATAATTGCCTCTGTATGAAAACATAAGCTTTCTGATCCTTGATATGCTCTCTGACACTGTTTTTCTTGCTTCCATCTAAAATCAATGCCAAATTTAATTTGGAATAAAGGTTAATGCAAACACATCTTAGACCTTTTTTATCACAAAATGCAACTGGAAATTTTGCTTCCAAAAAGTGTTTTTTTTTTAAATGTATAGAAAAGGATTTTAAACCTAACTGACTGAGTCTTCAGTTTAGAAATAAAAATAGGAGTAACTGGAAGCTACAAACAAGGGAGAAAGGACTGATTGATACAGTAAGCTAGGTTTTAGAGGTCACAAAGTCCAATAATGTGAAAGTAGCCATAAATCATGTTGAGGAGACCCTTGAAAAATTAAAACCATATTATTTTTTTAACCATGTTAATAGAAGAATGTGATTTTTCTTATCCTAATGTGGCTATCTAAAACAGGCCAGACAAATTACGATGCTTTACAGTAAAGTATAAATGCTGAGGGCAGGAGTCAGTTGTGAAAACAGAATCTGGGTGTTTGGACCACTTAAGATACCCAGGGCATTGACACAGGGCTTGCATTGGCCCAAGGCTGGCAGGTGTGACATACCTGTCAAGAAAATCTGTGCCTTTCTGTAGAAATAAAGGTGGGGTGAGATACTATAGGCAATGCAAAAATATAATTTAAAATGTCAATATTTAAGTAAATCAACTGCACTCCTAAAATTGAGATGACTCTTCCATAGAAGGTTGGTTGTGTTCCCCATTTAGACACATCTCGTGCCTCTGAGAAGCACAAAAGCATTCTGCCTGGTTTTCTGTCATTGTAAATGGCTTGACTCTAGGGGTCAACAGATCTATTATATTCTCTGTGTTACAATTGCTTAGCTTATAGAACTAAAATTTTCCAATGTCAAGTTGCAATCTACGATGTTTCATAGATTTAGTGTTGTATCTTCAAATCATCCTCTAAGTTCTTAAAATATATCTTTAAATATATAGTATATAACATGGTCAAACAAATGGCATGGAAGTAATTGATTATTTTTTATAATATATAACATTATTCAATATTTTTGTTGATCTTTGTTTCAACATTTCTACATCTACCTTGGTGACAAATAATGTATTTGCATTTACTTATAAAGAAAATCATAAAGAGAAGATAGAATTATGGTCATAGGTTTAGGTCAAAAGGGACATTGAAAGATCACCTAAAACAGCTTCCATCCCATGGGCAGGAACATCTTTCACCAGATCAGGTTGCTCAAAGCCCCAGACAGACCTTGAGCACTTCCTGGGATGGAGAATCCACAGCTTCTCTAGGCAGCCTGTGCCAGTGCCTCAGCATCTTCACAGTAAAAAACATTTTCCTTATGTCCAATGTAAACCTTTCTCCTTCTGGTTTAAAACTGTTGTGCCTTGTCCTGTCATTACATGCCTTGGTTAAATGTTGCAGCCACTCAAGGGGTCCTCTAGCGGTTTTTAGGAACTCTTTGTAGATACTAAGAATTTGAATAATGTTTTTGAATTGCTGTGCGTTAACCCAACATCTGCCTGACAAATATAAAATAGGCCTCTTGTGAGACATAAGTCATTCTGAAGTGGCAGCTGGAGTCAGGCAGGATGCCCCTTGGCATCCAGCACCAGACAACAATTTGCGAGCAGCGGAATGGAGCCCTAAAGCTGTTGTAGGAATATAGCAACCTGCCTTTCTTGTAGATATTTACTTGTGAGCACCAAAACTGTATGATGGATATGTACTTTATCATTCTTAAAATTAGATTAATGGAACATAATCCACAGACTCCAGTAGCCCATACTTGAGACCTATACCATCTTGGAGGGAGAACTGGGAAACGTCTTGCAAAGGATTGCAATTTCTCAGCTCCTGTATATGGATCTGGAGGGGAATTCTTTCAATATGTCTCCTTTGCTGTCTCCTACCTGCCTCAAGCCCTGTTCATCTGTTCTGGCAAACAAAGAAAGCACATTAGTAACAGCCTTTGAACTTACCTCACATCGCACTGCACAAGGAGACGGGAGCAGATGAACTACTGCGTTCCTCACAGTGTTTAGTGAAATTTTTCATTAATCAAAGCATTACTATAATAAAATTACATAGTATATTTTCCAAACTAGTACCTCAGTGGAGATTTATTTTTTTAATGCCTGAAGGAAATGGAAGAAAGGCAGTTGGTTACTGCAACTTGCATTCTCAGCTAATAAAATGTCAAGAATCTACAGTTCTTTGACTAATACATTGTTCAACCTCTTGCTGAACTGCAGAAGGAAATGCTTTTTGTGTACCTTGTTCTTTCAAATAAAATGTTTCTCTTCCCTCTTTTCCTTTTTTTTTTTTTTTCCTTTTGTTTTTTTCTTTTTTTCAGGTAGAACATATAGCCAGGAGAAAATAACCTATTACAAGGAATTATTTTTGTGAAGCCCTTGCACAAAGTATAGAGTAAAAGATAAGGCATTAAATGCTTTATTATAAATAAGACTTGAGAGTTGTTTCATAGTTGTAATGTTTCAGTATTCGTTCTAGTTTAGAACTTACAAGTTCAGAATCAAAATTATTATTATCTGCCAGTCCTTGGGAATTTATCACAAAGGGATTTTGTTTTTTCTTTTAGGCTCTGAATTCTAATTTATTCATTAGTAAGTGCTGTTCGGAAAAGTATTCTACATAAATGCTTTTCTAATAATATACAAGACTGAATTAAAATCTTAGTAGGAAAGCTCACCACTGAACTGTGCAATCTATGCCTGCCACAGATAAATCAGGTATTTCAGCAGCACTAAGAAGATGTTATTGCTTATAGCTATTTCAACACCTAACACATTCTTTCCACCCAAGCTAGGAAGGGCTGTAGGGCTGTATTTAGTTGTCTGCACACAAGCATCAAGTGACACCTTGGTTGTATAGGATATCAGATATTTGCACAGAGGTACCAGATGTGCACAGGCCTTGTGAAAGACCCAAGCCATGCTGGAGTGTAGATGAGATGACTGGTGCATCTGAAAGAGGCCTACATACCTTTGATGGGCAACTAAACAATCTCTAAGTGATATAACCACTACCATAATCAAGCTTAGAAGATGTAAGAGTGCTGTAGCTGCAGCAGCAACTGTGTATGACCATGCTGTTAATCTGTGGGAAACATGAAGTAGTGGAATTTAATAAAGAAATTAAGGGTGAAGTGGAGCTACACAATTGGTGCAAACTACATTGTATTGTATACTTCATGCTTGCCACATGATTAAGGAATGTATAAAAGCCAATGGTATACAAATAGATATGCTTTGACTTAGTAAGTTCTGACAACTTTGTTAAATTTTTTGGTTTCCACCCTTTGCTGGTGATCTTAAAAATTGTATCGATTGATACTATTAATACTTGTTTCAACATCACTGTTTAGTATGAGTTTTAAATACTTACATATTGCAAATATTAATTTGGTACACTGTATCCCCAAAATATACTGCTGATTTAATCTTTCTTTTCATATTTCAGAGACAAAGTATTAGAATGGCATAAAATATGGCACAGTTCTACTACAAAAGAAGTGTCAATGCTCCCTACAGAGATCGTATCCCTCTTCGTATCGTACGGGCAGAATCTGAACTGTCACATGCAGAAAAAGCCTATCTGAATGCCGTGGAGAAAGGAGATTATGCCAGTGTAAAGAAAGCTTTAGAAGAAGCAGAAATTTATTTCAAGATCAATATTAATTGCATTGATCCCCTGGGAAGAACTGCGCTCCTTATTGCAATTGAAAATGAGAACCTTGAGCTCATTGAGTTGCTCTTAAGTTTTAATGTATACGTTGGAGACGCTCTGTTGCATGCCATACGAAAGGAGGTAGTTGGTGCCGTGGAGCTGCTGTTAAACCACAAGAAGCCCAGTGGGGAGAAACAGGTATGTGCAGGATTTTCTCTAGGTTTGTAATCTGCTGTGATGCAAAAAGAATAATTCTGCAAAGAAGTAAGCTACAAGAAAAAAAAACAACAACAACTGTCATTCTTGCAAACAAGTATTTATAATCAGAAAAACAATTATTTTGATGCTGTATGCATTGTATTAATTTGTGTTTGGACATCATAGAATGGTTTGGGTCAAAGGGGACATTGAAAGGTCATCTAAAACAGCCTCTATCTCATGGACAGAAAGTTCTTTCACTAGATCAGGTTGCTCATAGGCCCATCCAACTGGACCTTGAACACTTCACACGAAGGACATCCACAGCTTCTCTAGGCAGCCTGTGCTGGAGTCTCAGCACCCTCACAGTAAAAAACATTTTCCTTCTGCCCAGTCTAAACCTTCCCTCTTCCAGTTTAAAACTGCTGTGCCTTGTCCTGTCACTACACACCTTGGTTAAATGTCTCTCTTTCTCTTTCTCATGAGCCCCCTTTACATAATGACAGGCCACTATAAGGTACCCCCAGAGCCTTCTCTTCTCCAGGCAAGCCCCCTTTACATAATGACAGGCCAAGGTACCCCCAGAGCCTTCTCTTCTCCAGGCTGAACAACTCCAGCTCTCTCAGCCTGTCTTCATAGGAGAGTTGCTCCAGCCCTTGGAGCATTTGAATAGCCCTCCTCTGGAGCTGCTCCAACAGGTGCATGTCTTTCTTGTACTGAGGACTCCAGAACTGGACACAGTACTCCACTCCAGGTGGGGTCTCACGAGAGTGGACTAAAGGGGCAGAATCACTTCCCTTGACCTGCTGCTTTTGATCCAGCCCAGAATATGTTAGGGTTTCTGGACTGCGAGTGCACATTGCCAGCTCTTGTCCAATTTTTCATACACCAGAATCTTCAAATCCTTCTAGGCAGGACTGCACTTCATCTCTTCATCCCCCAGCCTTTACTGATATTGGGGATTGCCCCAGCCCAGGAACACAGCCTTTGACTGTGTTGAACTTCATGAGGTTCACACAGTGTCCGCCACTTGGGCCTGTCAAGGTCATCTCATGCAATCAAATCTGTACAAGTCCAAGAGGCCTATCAGTTTGATGTAGTTAAATCACATGGGATTTATCTTCCAATAAGAAAGGATAAAAACATCCTGTATCCTTCTTACCCCCAGCGTGAATAACAAGGTTTTCCTTTCACAGCTGAGTGAATTGTTAACTCTCTTCTATACAAAGACGGAATTGGGCTCACATTTAACTGTTCACACACAAAAGCACCATATTGGAAGACTGTGCAGTAAGAAAAGTTGAACTCTTTCAAGTCAAAGCTTTGCGTTCATTATAAACTCACTCAAGAAAATCTGGAAGTTGGTAAAGCAGTGTGGTTTTGCTTGTGAGACCTCTGACATGGTAATGTTATTCCTGCAGATATTAGTGTGAAGTCCTTAATCACTCAAAGATGTAAATAATTCCAAAGAGAACAGTAGTGGTAAGATGTGGTCCATTATAATAAATTATGAAACTCTCTTTAAAGTCAAAGAAGGTTTCAGCCCCTCCATGTGGAGGTCTCTATCTCCCAACTCAGCAAGGCAACAAGAGCCCTGTCCCCATCCTGTCAAGTACAGCTAAAAGGGTATAAACCCATCTCCCTTTCCCCTTGTCATCTCTCAACGGAAAAAATAATTATAGTCTCATTCATAAATGTGATACCTACTCTGTTTCCCCTTGCATTGCCTTGAGACTTCTCTAAGAGGTAGCTAGCCTCTTGTGTATCCTTTCTATTGTAATAAATAAATAAATATTGTAATAAACTAGTGGAGAAAGGATAACATAGCCCATTAATTCTGATATTCATAGGACTCTTTCAAGAAGAAAAACATTAAATATTGTAATAATATTGTACTGTATGCTCATCTTTTTCAATTTTCATGTATTATAGGTACTGTATTAATGTTTTTTAATTAATAATGTGTTTAAATGATTACAGCCCTTTCACTCACAATGCATATAACATACTTTAATTACAGTTTATTGTACTTGCTATGGATGGAATTGCAGAAAATAGGGAAA